TGAGGGACCAACCACAAATACCCACTCTAGACCACAAACTCTAATGTCTGTAGTGTTCTGTTTACATAAACTTGTGAACTGACTCAGTGAAACATACAGAGAGTGGCAGTTTCTGTGATCTAACAGTGATGTGATAAATTTTTTTAAATGTCATGAGCCAAACAAAACACATCTTTAGGCCTAATTTTGCGTGAGAGTAACCAGTATGCAACTCTTGGTCTGTATATTAATTCTAAAACTTGAAAAAATTGGAATAGTACTTATATTATGATAGCTATGTAAACAGTTTTCATGGCAGAGCAAATTAATGTTTTCAAATTCTCTGGGGCCCTCATCACCTCTTGTATGGCACCCAAAGAGAATGTTCCCAGTGTCAAACTGCAAAGAGTCTCCCTCCTTACTCTCCTCCCATTGTTCAGAATCCAGCTGCATACTTGTACCATACTTTTAATGGCAGATGTTGCTGCCTACCCCACTGCCATTCCCTCATTCTTCCTTGCTAGGATCTTTTATTTTTCCTTGTTTATTGATGTTGGCAGTTCTCAAATGTCTTATGATCTATTTGTATTTTCACATGAGGGAAGAGTTTGAAGATTGGGAACTCTAAACGTTGATGAGACTCACTAACTTATGGGTTCACTTTAAGTGGACAGAAAACTCTCGGCTATAATGTCAGGACTGAAATAAAGCAGCAGAAGGCCTTTATTCTTGGATAGTGACATCCAGGCTAGTTATCCTTGTTAGTTCTTTAGACAGTTCATCAAATAGTTTAGGCAAGAACTGATTAAACAGGGTTTTTTTAGTTAGTTAATTAATTAACTTATTTGACAGAGAGAGAGAGAGAGAGAGAGAGAGAGAGTAGGCAGAGGGGCAGGCAGAGGGGAAGGGAAAAGCAGGCTCTCCACTGAGCAGAGAGCTTGACTTGGAGGCTCAATCCCAGGACCCTGAGATCATGACCAGAGCAGAAAGCAGACACCTTACTGATTGAGCCACTCAGGCGCCCCAATTAGGCAGTTTTTAAAGATATGTTTAAGGTGTTTTTTTTTTTTTTTTTTTAATTTATTTATGATAGTCACAGAGAGAGAGGGGGGGCGCAGAGACACAGGCAGAGGGAGAAGCAGGCTCCATGCACCGGGAGCCTGATGTGGGATTCGATCCCGGGTCTCCAGGATCGCGCCCTGGGCCAAAGGCAGGCGCCAAACCGCTGCGCCACCCAGGGATCCCGGTTTTTAAAGATATGTTTAAATAAGACCCTGACTACTCCACACCGTAACTTTTATTTATTTATTCATGTTTACTTACTTACTTATTTTATTTATTCACCCACTCATTTTGTAGCCTGCTTGCTGGTACAGGAAGGTATAGGAAACTTGACTTTCTTTTTTTTTTTTTTTTTTTTTTGGTGTCTGATCTTATTTATTTTGTCACTCTTAGAAAATCTCATTTTTCACTGGACTCAGAGGTAGAAGCTCTCAGAGAGGACAGCCTCTGTCTCTTGGCAATCTGTTCCTGGAGTTTTTCTTTGGCCTCCTTCATTCTCTTGGCCAAAAGTTTAGCATATTCTGCAGCCTCTTCCTTATTTTTCTTAGTATGCTATTTCTTCAAAGCAATACGCCGACGTTTGTGTTGGAGGACACGTGGAGTAACAAGACGCTGAATCTTGGGTGCTTTGGTTCTAGGTTTCTTACCTTCTTTGTTTAGGGGCTTTCTAACAATATACTGGTGGACATCATCTTCTTTTGACAGATTAAAAAGCTTTCAGATTCTGCTGGCTCTTCTGGGCCCCAGGCGACAAAGCACAGTAGTATCAGTGAGCCCAGGAATATACTTCTCCCCTTTTTTTCACAATAACCAAATTGAGAACACTGAGATTGGCATCCACAATGCAACCCCAAACAGATTTGAGCTTCCTCTCTCCAGTCCTCCTGGGTCGGTAGCAGGAATGCCCCTTACTCAGCAGCAGGCAGACGCGGCCGTGGGTGAAGACACCCTGCTTCATGGGGAAGCCTTGTTTGTCATTGCCGCCACTGATTCGCACCATGTAACCCTTCCATTCCTTGCCCAGAGCATCGGCAGCAACTTCTGTGGCCATATGCTTCTCATAAAAGGTATGCAGTTTGTGCTCATCATCCACTTCAATGAATTTCCGGCAGCCAATGGCTGGGAAAGAGATGTTCAGCTTCATCCTGAAGCAGCATACTGCCTCGGAGGCACCACAAAAAAGAGCAGAAACTTGATTTTCATAGATCTTCAATTAATCCCATATTTTCAGGCCTTCTCTTTTTTAATATATAATTTTTTTTCCGGATTTTATTTGAGAGAGAGAGAGAGAGAGAGAGAGAGAGAGAGCATAAGTGGGGGAGGAGGGGTAGAGGGAGAAGCAGACTCCCCACTGAGCAGGGAGCCCGATGTGGGACTCAATCCCAGGATCTTGAGGTCATGACCTGAGCCGAAGGCAAACACTTAACCGACTAAGCCACCCCAAGTGTCCTTCAGGACTTTTCTTAAGTTCCATTGTACCTGTTGCCCAAGTCAAGAGGTTCCATGTGGTTGTATTATATGGCTGTTCCATGCTGGCTTTCTGTTTTTTTTGGTTTTTTTTTTCATTAATTAATATTTCATCTGATTTTTGTTTTATAGGAATTTATTGAGCTTTCTTTTTATGTTAATAGCCTTCTTCCTATTCTCTTTGTGAACTTAAGTCTTTAAAAAATTCCATTACTATTATCTTAATAATTTCTCAGAAAGAGGATATAAATACATGTGCTTAATTAGCATACCATATTAAACCTGCAGTCTCTACATCATTCTTTTTGATAGCTGCATAAAGTAAAATTGTCTGGATTTTTTTTTTTGGATTTTTAAAATATGTATTAACCTGTCTTCTACTAATTAGCAGTTAATTTTGTGATTGCAAATACTGCTGCAATGAATATTTCTGGATATATCTCTATGCATTGTATATCTGTAGAATAAATTTCTAGAGGTAGTGTGTTGGATTGAAGGCTGTTGGAAAGCTCCCCTTTGGAGCATGTGTGTAGTTTTGGAAAGTGATATTGTATAGTGATTAAATGCATGAACTCTGGGGCCAGGCTGCCTGGGCTCATAATCTTGGCTCTCTTCCTTAGCAATGCTGTGACCTTGGGCAAGTTACTTAAGTTTCTGTGTCTTGTTTTTCTAATGGGTAAAAATGAGAATAATATCACCTTTCTCCTAGGGTTGTGAGGATTAAATGAGTTAATTTGTTGAGAATCATGACTGATAATAAACACTCAATAACCATTATCTGTTACTACTGTTATTTTAGTAAGACTTAGTTACCATGCTAGCTAAAAAGAAGCCACTGCCCTGCATGGGCTGGAGCTGGCACTCTGGCCAGAGTTCCTGAGCACAGGACCAAGAAGAGAAGATACAAAAGGTCTGGGGAGGGCTCAGAGCTTTTTTGCCCAGGAGCCTACCAACTGTAGCCACTTGAAAGCTGCATTGTTAATTGCTGTCTCTCTAGTTTTAGACAGTGTTTGCCATATAGTTGAGTAAATAAATGAATGAGTGAATGAAACCAAGTTTAAGAATTTTTTTTACTTCTTTTTAATTCCCTCTTGCCATCTGCAAGCCATCTTTGCTTTACTGTAAACACGCCTGGCAGGGAGGGGACCACAAAGGAGCCTGTGAGGGAAGCATCTTAAAGTCACTCTGCCTGAGGGGATCATAGTGACCACGGCAGGAGAAACAAAACACAGTTCCTAGGGCTTCTCAGGAACACTTGGTTGAGGAGCCTACTAAAAGCCTGGACTTCCCGCTATCGTGGAGAGAGGGATTTACACTGCTTATACTTCAGTATTAAAGGGAGAATGATCCCTCACGACTGGGAAGTCTGGTATAGGTGGTTTAGCACAGGGCTTGCTACATGGTAACCTTTCAGTAATGGCAGCGTTTTATATTATATTTCTAAATTTTGCTAAAGACTAGAATAAAGTCTGCATTTGATGTTGTATCCACCTTCTTCAAGCTATATCTGACCTGGTGTATGATGGCCATAACTGCCCATTCACTACAATGTTCCCAGTACAGCTGTTATGTCAATAAGATGATTGTCAAGTTGAGTGAGCCTCAGAGATCAGATAGGGTAGCAGTGATCTTAGACTTTCTACCAGTTCTTCTCAATAGCATAACCTTGTATTAGTATCTTGAAATTTCAAAGAATCATTTTCTGTCTCTGTGAAATGGGAGATTAGTACTATAGTATCTACCACCTGTTTGGGCTTAAGAGCACATCTTGACATTAAATTAAAAGAGAGAGAAAATGAATAAATTAGAATGGGTAATACACCCTGAAATCTTGATCTGAAAGTCATCATTAATGGTAAAACCATTACAGTATTATCTTTCTCCAACATTTCTAGCAGATGCTTGGCTAAGGAAAAAAATGTCAATTTTCAGCATATTCTCAGAATATGGTTATAATTTATTATTTTTCACCATTCACACATTAATGTGTTGAAAAAACAGATCTAAGTTCAAAAGGAGATTATTTTCCAAAATTAATATACATAGTAAATGAACAGAATACACATTCATACATACATACTTGTGTTAATTGTTCATTTTAGCTAATTATTCTTTTGTTTCAGTGTTGTTGAACATTAGTCATGGACTTAGCATGGGTAGTGAAAAAGCAAATTAATAAAGACTCAATTATAGTTACCAGAGGAGGAATATGGATCCTAAAGCCAGGAAGCTTGTTTGAGGAAGATTCAGAAAAGATCCAGGAAAGCATCTGTGACATCAAACCCAAACATGGAGCTCTCCAGACAAAAGATTCAAATCTACCTCCTATTTTAATAATGAAACAGCTGCCAGGGTCGAGGACCCTCTAGGGGTCCTCATTTGTGATGGATAACTGAGTGGTGTTTGTTTTGTTTGGGAGAATAAATATTTGAAGGGAGTAATCGAAGAAGGTTATGCTGCTGTTATGATGTTATTGATACACAGGCTGACGCTATTATGGCAGACGCTATCAGGCTACATTATCTTTATGCGTTCAAGGTAACCTGAAGCAACTGTCTTTTTACTTGGCACTACCTTACACTGAAGCGTCTGCCCTGCTGAGGGACTGTAACCCAAGCCAACACATGCCTCACAGACAGCTTTCTTTAGCCACTGACAGCATCAAGGAAGGAAGAGCGTGAAATTGCCCCGCGACAGACGCTTCCCGAAGGGGAGTTGGCTGCTAAATGACTCCAAGGGAGGGTGGCACTGCCATCTCCTAATCTTCTATTTAGGAGTAACCACTAGAAAGCCCTTCTCTTCAGGCAAGGAAATAGTTACTATCAGGAAACTGGAGGTGATGTGAACCCCTGGAAAGTTTTCCTGCTTTGAACTTTACAATGTTTCCCTGCAGGTCATGTCCACATGGAAAGCAAGGTTCACCAAAAGACTGAAATCTCCATCTAGGAGGATGCATCCCTTTCCATGCTCAGCTCTGCTTGCTTGTTTTGGGAACACAAGGGAGAATGCACCCTTTGATCAGCCCAGCACAGCTGATACTCATTCCACCATCTATATTCAGCCCATGGCCAAAGCGAGCAGACATGCAAGTCACTCAAAAGGGGAAGAAGGAATTCCCGAGAAAAGGCGAGATTCTGGCATCCGTTCAGAGAAAAATGGCAGCACAAATCTGAATTCAAGTAACCACACTGTCAACCAGCCTGCTGAGACCCCTGAAGATTCTCCTGGGAGCCCAGAAGATAAGTTGGACTGTGAGGCAGTTACTTTCCAGACTTCTATCCCCAGACCATCAATTATTGAAATGCCAGCGGTGAGTTTTCCCAATGCTATTATAGAAGGAATGGTATTGGAGGAGAGTTCTTATCATTTGGTGGATGCCTTCAGGAAACAAACTTGTTTAATGTTAGTGAATAGTATGTTGAGGGGAACTCTTATTGGTGAGAGGAAGTGTGTAAAGCCTTTTAAATTCTCATAAGGACCTCAAAGGATGTAAAGGGATGTAAATAACAATAAGCACTGGGGCCTTAGCAATGGCCAAAACTGGCCTTTAATTAACTGCCCATGGTGCTTCGGAGTCAACAGTGTCTCAACAGGAGATTAGGGGTAAGGTAGTCTGGGAAAGCTTTTTTGTTTTGTTTTTCTTTTTTTTTTTTTTAACTGGTACATGAGTTTATTTATATGAAAATCTACAATATAAAAGATTTAATTATAGAACTAAGGAATTTCCCCTACTTAAAATGGTACCAAGGCAGTTTGGGAAAATTTGGAAATGATGATCATTGTATATATAGTAGCAAAGAAAGGAACCAACCTGTAAAACTATTTGTAATATGGGTGTTCCTGCAACAGTTTCCCAACTCAGGCAGGAGAATGAAGCTATTTCAAAAAAAAAAAAAAAAAAAGTGCTGCTCTCCAAAGGCATCATGTTGAGATATTTATTTACCTGTCTTCTTGTTGGGGGCAATACCGAATTTTAATTGTTGACTATTCTGATTGTATTGAGCTATACAGCCATGCTGAAGTTCTTGGTAATCTCAAGAGACAGGGTTTCTTGAATGCTGTTTTCCAGAGATACCTCTTGAGCATTTTTCGGTCATATTCCTGGCCAAGTAGCTTAGGACCAGACTTAAAAAACTGAGAAGTCTTTGTGGATCCATTACTAAGATACTCCAATTTTCAAAAATCACTGTTTTCCATCTAGTTTAACAAATCATATTTTGTCTGACTTGCTGATCAAGAGGCCTCATTAGTACTGAAAACTGCTAAACAGTGAAGATAAGGTTAACACATGTTTTTAAAAATAATTTCATCTGATATTCTACAGGCTTATCTTAAATTACTGAAGCTTATCCCTATTGTCTAAATCTTTCTATTTTGAGATTGGACAGAAGATTTCACTCTGTTATAGCAAGAACTGTAGTGGTTTGGGGACACCTGGCTCTGTGGTTGAGTGAATACCCCTGGCTCAGGGCATGATCCCGCGGCCTCAGGATCAAGTCCCACATCAGGCTCCTTGCCTGGAGCCTGCTTCTTCTTCTGCCTACATCTCTGCCTTTCTCTCTCTGTGTCTTTCATGAATAAATAAATAAAATCTTTAAAAAAAAGCACTGTAGTGGTTTGGTTCTCCTCCCCACCCAGCATCACTAAATCAAAACCCAAAACAAGCAAACAAACAAAAGCAAAAACACGTATTATTCAATTTTCAGTTTGTATCCACGTCCAGATGAAGATATTGTTAGCGGTATCATAGTAGGCTGAGTGGACATCCTGGCCGAGTTTTTATTTATTGCATCTTAAAAGACCCAATGATGTACTGGTTTTATGAGCTGGAAGGTTCTGTTGGGTAGAGATTCGAACAACCCAGGACCCACCCTATATTGCTAAATATAGCAGTGAATACAAAGGGTTGATTTGATTTTATCTTCCTGTCTTAGTGGCATATGTGACACAGGGACTCAAAGTAAATACGCATGTTCAAATATAACCAATTAAACACAGTGAAGTAGCATCCATATTTATTGTCCACTTGTATGAGCAAGTCATGGATAGACTACAGAGGTGACACAGGCCTTATGATGGAACTGACCTCAATGTAAGGTTAAATACAAGTGTCTCAAGACACACATAAGATAGGTCAAAGGAGGTTGGAAAAGTACACTGTAGTGGAGGTGGAATTTGAGATTGATTTAGAAGGAGGGTTAGGATTTTTATGGCAGTGATGAATGGGAGGACATTGCAATAAAAGAAAATTGTATGAACAAAACCATGGATGTGGGGGAATGTAGCTTAGGGATATGTACATCAGACTGGCTAAGTTGGAGAGATACCTGGAAAGGTAGATTGAAGCCAAAAGTGAGATGTCTTGAATGCTATGGTCAGAAGTGAACTTAGTAGGCAGTGTTGAAGCTTTGAGAATTTTGGGCAGAGAAGTGTCATGCTTAGGATTTCATAAGTAGGATGGGTTAGAGTTGAGAAGACTTGGAGTTGAGGTCATTGTAATGATCTAGGCTTGAGGATATTGTAAAAAAAGAATAGCAGGGAGGTGAAGTGGGAGGACCAAAGAAGAAAGGACCACAAGGGATAACAAATGCAGTAGTTGTATGGGTCTCAGACCGCATGAGGAGGAAAGGGAGACCAAACTGGGAGTGATGAAATGAAAACATTATAAAACCAAGGCCAGGCTGTATGGGAAAAGTGGGTCCTGTGGGGGTGGTATATGGGCGTCCTATTATAGTTCAAATGGAGAAAGCTAATATTTACAGAGCATTTGCCATATGCCAGCCATTCTTCTAAGTGCTTTATAGGGAGCATCCCGTGGACCTTGGTTACAGTGAGGTGCATATTCTTATGATTCCCTGACACTTAGAGAAGGTAAGACACTTGCCTAAGGTCACAGAGGGAGGAAGTGGTAGAGCCAGGATTGAAACTCAGCTCCTTATTATTGCTTGTATGGTGTCTGAGGATTTACAATCAAATATTCACACATGATCTCACTTCATATGCAATCAAATTAAATTTGTGTATGTGTATGTATTTATATGTAAATGTATCTGTGTATATAACCATCATCATTATTATTTGCTTTTTATTAATTTGCTTAACCTCTTAAAAATCTTAGATTAATGGTATTAACATTATGGAAAGGGACATTTTCCACTTTGCATCCTGCTGATGACAAGACTTTGTTGATGACATGGTGGGGTTGTTTTGAGATCTTCTGATTAAAAGTGCCATGGGACTGCCCAGAATTTTCATTACCTAGTAATTTTTGTAGTGATGTGTTTCCCCTCCACAGATGAATGAGCTTCTTTTATTACAGCCTTGCCTGGAGGCAAAAATATTTCCCCGTTAATGCACTGATCCTCATTATTTAAACTGGCTTGGTAGAGACAACAAATAATACTCTTTTTTAGAACTCAGCCTTACAATATAACCATAGCTAAGAAATGGGGACAAGTCCTCCTCTCTATTTTTAGTTACCTAGTTCAGACAAGAGGGTGATTCTTTAAAATCTGAAGCAACATCTGGTCTGAGAGGAAAAGCTCAAGATAGAGAGGCCAATCGAACTAATTAAAAAAAGGTTTTTGTTTGTATAAATGTATGTGCACATATCTGTATTTACGAAGTGATACCAATTAGTCTTCTACCTTTTCGTGGCCATCTCTCCCTTGTTCCAGGCCTGAAATCAAGGTGATAATAACCCTAACACTGGAATGTTTTACAACTCCTGCTATCTTCTGATTGTACTTTTTTTTTCTTAGTGGTCTTGCAATTGAAGTGTCTAATAATTACTGGGATTGTAGAGTCAATGAAACACAGCAGTGTGCTGTTTATTTTTCTGGCTAAGAGTTATTGTGTTCTTATGTGCCAGGACAGCCCTAGCCCTAAGGAAAAAGACTGAAGATACAGTTTGTGATGTTGCTTCCATTCCAGTGAGAGACAGAGTAAACTGTTGGTGTCAATGCAATATGAGAATCATTATGTCTCAACAATGGACATCCAGAAGAGCACATGGAAGAAGCTCCTATCTTAGCCTTGAGAAGACTAGAATATATGGAGGCGAAGGGTTTCTACCTTATTCTTTTAAAATTGGCTTCTTAGTTGAATGGTGCTATTTTTCTCACTCTCCCTTCACAATGTTGGCAGCGTAAGAAAGACACGGTTTCCACATGAACTAGCTTCAGAGGAGTTTGGTAGTTTCAGAGACTTTCTACAGCAGTGCTAATTTTTTATCCAGTTCTTACTCTATAAAGTTGCCTGCCTGACACAGGAAGAGAAAGTAACTGTGGGTTGGGAAATCATTCCTGGGTATTTTTTTAAAGATTTATTTATTTGAGAGAGAGAGAGAGAGAGAGAGAGAGAGAGAGAGAGAGAGACTGCACATGCACAGGTGCGAACTGAGGGAGGAGCAGGGGAGAAGGAGAGAGAGAATCTCATGCAGACTCCTCGCTAAGCACAGAGCCTGATGCAGGACTCCATACCTGAAATCATGACCTGAGTCAAAACCCAGAGCTGGATGCTCAAGTGACTGAGCCACCCAGGTGGCCCATTCCTGGGTATTTTTGACTAAAAGTTCGTTTTCTAAAAAGGAAGGGAAAACAAGGCCTATCTTGCAGTCGACAACTGCATTGCTTTTTATAATAGGCCATTTTTGCTATTAGAGAAGTGGTAACCAAGACTTCCCTAGAGTCTACGCTTGACTGTTACTGCTTTTTAGGGTCTGAGTCTTGGTAATACCAGTTTTGTCAGTCATCCTTCTGTAAGATGTAGTTCCTTGATACTCATACTTACAAGAGCCTGATGTATAAATCAGAACAACTGTTTAGTTGTCAGCCTTGAAATTGTCAGGGTAGGGCTTACTAAGCCACGTATTTTTGCCACAGGAAAATTATACATAAAGAGAAATGATAACCAGAAAGCTGGTTGGAGAGTAAAGATTCAGATGGGGTACTTGGGTGGCTAAGCAGCAAAGTGTCTGCCTTCAGCTCAGGTCATGATCCCAGGGTCTTAGGTTGAGTCCTCCCTGCTCATTGGGGAGCCTGCTTCTCCCTCTGCCCTTCTCTCTCTCTGTCTCATATGAATAAATAAAATCTTAAAATATGATTCAGAGGAAGGAGGGAGGCTACATTTTTAATTGTAGTAAAATATATAACATAGAATGTATAATTTTAGTTATTTAAAAATACACAGTTCTGTGGCATATGGTATGTCCATAATAATGTGCACCTGCCACTATCATCCATCTCCAGAACTCTTCATCTTCTGCAACTCAGACTCTATATTCATAAAACAGTAACTCCCCATTCACTATTCACCCTTCTCCTAATCCCCTGGCAACCACCATTCTACTTTCTGTCTCTATAAATTTAATGATTCTCAGTACCTTGTATAAGTGGAATCACACTTTTGCATCCAGCTTAAATCACTCAGCATAATGTCCTCAAGGTTCATCCATGTGGAAACATGTATCAGCATATCCTTCCTTGTTAAAGCTGAATAATATTCCATCATATGTATATGCCACATTTTGTTTACACATTCATCTGTCAATGGGGTTATGTCATTTCCACCTTCTGGCAACTGAGAATAATGCTGTTATGAACATGGGTTTACAAATATCTCTTCAAGACTGTTTTCAATATACTCAGAAATGGAGTTGTCCTATCATATGGTAATTCTGTCTTTAATTTTTCAAGGAACTGACATACAGTGTTTTACAGTGGTTGTACCACATATGCCTACCAGCAATGCGCAAGGGCTCCAAGTTCTCCACATTCATGCCACCACTTGTTTCTAAAGTTTTTGTTCATTTGTTTTGATAATAGTTATTGCAAAGAGAATAAGGTGATATCTTATTGTGGTTTTGATTTTTCATTTCCCTAATGATTAGTGATGTTGAGCATCTTTTCATGTGCTTATTGGCTGTTTATGATCTTTGGAGAAATGCCTATTCAAGGCCTTTGCCTATTTTTAAAATGGAGTTATTTTTTGTTGTTGAATTAGTGTCCTTTGATGTACAAAAATTTTAATTTTGACAAAATCCAATTTATCTATTTTTTCTTTTGTTTCCTGTGCTTTTGTTGTCACATTCAAGAAATCATTGCCAAATCTAATACCATCAAGTTTTTTTCTCTATGTATTCCTCTAAGAGTTTTATAGTTTTAGCACTTATGTTCAGGTCTTGATCCATTATGAGTTAATTTTTGTATGTGATGCAAAGTAAAGGTCCAAATGCATTCTTTTGCATGTGGATGTCTGATACTTCCAACACCATTTGTTGAAAAGACTGTCCTTTCCACAGTGAATGGCCTTGGTACCCTTGTGAAAAATCATTTTACTGTATATGTGAGGGTTTATTTCTGGCTCTTTTATTACATTTCATTGGTTTATTTGTTTGTTTTAATGCCAGTAACACACAGTTTTGATTTCTGTAGCTTTGTAGTAGGTTTTGAAACTAGTAAGCATGAGACATCCAAGTTTGTTCTTCTTTTTTTTTCTTTTTTTTTCAAGATTGTTTTGGCTATTTGGGGTCCCTTGAATTCCATATGAAT